CCTTTAGTTGCTACAGCACCTTGTCTTGAGTCATCTAATTAAAAGATGACTATTTCTTGCCATAGGATCCTCCTTAATTTATCATGAGGAAAAAGTTATTTAAAATGTTTGTATTTTTCTGGTCTTCATTAACTAAGTTTTGTTTTCAGGATACCTAGACTTTCATTTTTTTCAAATTTTTGTACTTAAAATTTTTTGGGGTCTGTTTTTCTCTCTTTGGCAATCACTCTAATTTTTCTAGTTTATCTACTCTAATTGCTTTTTTGTATGCATTATTGGTTTCCTTATAGTGTACATAGGATTTGTCCAATTTAAATGCTTTAAATGTCCTATCTTATTGAAATTGGCCTTTTTAAAATAATATGCTTTAGTATACCCCATGTGCTTTTGCTTTTTTTAGTTTATTTCAAAATATATTACATTCTGATCACTACTTCCTAAGTGCTCCGTTACTTGAATGTTGGTCAAAAGATCAACATTGTTTGTTATAACGAGATCCAGACAAGCATCCTTTCTAGTTTGGTGCTTGCACCAGTTGTGACATGAAGGTGTCATTTAACACATTCAAAAACCTGATTCTCCTTGATGAACTACTAGTTCCTCTATCTTAATTTATGTCCGGTAATTCAAATATCCAAAAATGTACGTATTACCAAGATGTGCAGCTTTCTCAATTTGCTCAAACAGCTGTTCTTACTTATCAATATTATCATGAGGTGGTTTATAACATATTTGCCCAAACAGATATCTACCCATAAAGCTTCCACATTTTCCTTGTCACATTCCACGTGCTTGAGATTTGGCTTTAACTCATGGTTTATAGTAGTGTTTCTTCCAATGTAATTAATTATTGCAAAGCAAGCTAGTTAACAGTATTAGTATGGCACATATATTGTATACAGTGCACCACAAGAGGACACTGTTGAGGAGATAGAGAATGCTTTGGGAAAATAATTATTCTCCCTTGGTACATCGCTGAAAAAAAGTGACACTTCACAGTGGGACTGCACTAGTTCAGTGAATATCAAAACAGAGGAGATATAAGAATAACTATATTCAAAGGGAACTTTAGATCAATGGGAGAGAGGAAGAAAGATCTAAAAATACAGCCTATGAACACGTTTGGCACTTTGAAAACAAGCTTGAATCTGGAAATGAGGTTAATGTCCCATGATATCTAAACTATAATATCTTACCATTAACTACTGAACATCTGACTCAGAGGATTTACACACCTCTGTGCTAATGGCTGTTTCCTTACCTTGATCTCTCTCCATTCTCTAACGTAAAAATTCAAAATAAATTTCATCTGTGCTTCCAATTCAGCTAATTTGGTCTAAATTGTAAAATCACTTTGAATCCCAGACAAGTCTCACTTTAGTTAATAACCTTGTAAGATTATATTGTCACTATACAGGCCTTATCAACCCAGGTAATTTTCCTGTTCGTTAACATTCTTAAATCGTATTATTGTAAAACATAAAATGCATCAAACATATCATTTATGTTACCTACAGTTGTGGTGTGTATATATACATACATCAATCAGTCACAATTTGCCTTACTCCCCCCCCCCCTAAAAAAAATCTGCACCTTGTGACTTTTGAGTGTCTTACCCCCTTTAGGATATCTTATCCCCCATTTGTGTCTTACACCTTCTTGAGGATAAATTATCGCTCATTTTTCCCTTTGCACCCATCTTACTTCCTCCCAATTTTGTGTGTCCTTCCCTCAAACCCTCTTACGTGTCTCTCCCCCCAGCCCCCTCTGTGTCTCTTTTTCTTCCCCCAGAACCTATGTTTGTTTCTTTCTCCCCTTCCCTTTTGGTGTGTCTCTTACAAACAATCCCTCTTATGTGTCTCTTTCTCCCCTCAAGCCCCTATTGTCTTTCCCCCAACCCATTTTGTGAGTCTTTTTCTTCTCCTAGACCCCTTTGTGTTTCTATTCCTCCCCTTTCAGGCCCTTTGTGTGTCTCTTTCTCCACACACTTCTTTGTGTGTGTCCCTCCCCCACCATCCCGGTTTCTCTATGTTTCTTGTTCTCCCCCTGCCGCTCTGTGTGTCTCTTTCACTGCTCCCTCTTTGTGGTGTCTTCATCTCCCCCTGTCCCTTTTGTCCTCACCCCTCCTGTGCCTGATTATCTCCCTCCATGTAGCACCCCCCAAGACCCTTTGTGTCTCTTGACCCCCCACAGCGCCTTTATTTGTCTCTTTCTCTCCTCACAGTCCCTTTGTATGTCTCTTCCCCCAGCTCCTTTGTGTGTCTCTTTTCCCTCCCACATTCCCTTTGTGTGACACTTTCTCCCCATCTCTTCTGTGTGTCTTTTTCTCCCCCCCCACAGCCCTTATGTGTTTCTCTTTCCCCAGCCCCTCTTTGCATCTCTTACCCTTAGCTTCTCTGCATGTCTCATTCCCTCAGCCCCTCTTTGTGTATCTCTCTCCCCAGCCCCATCTCCCACAGCCCCTTTGTGTGTCTCCTCCCCCAGTCCCACTGTGTGCCTCTTTCTCTCACCCCCTTCGTGTTGTCTTCCACTTCCCTCCATCCCTTTGTGGTCTTTAGAAGCCAAAACAACATCATTAAATCATTCATGAACAATGTATGCAGCATGGCAGGGTTCATGGTATGTGTCAAAGTAACATCCACCTAAATGCCAGGACTCCAGCAGAACATTGCCAAGAGCATAACACTGCCCCCGTTGCCTGGCTTCTTCCCATCCTGCTGTAATCTCTTCCCCAGGTAAATGGCTCACAAGCATGTTACCATCTAACTGATCTAAAAAAAAAATGTGACTCATCTGACCAGGCAACCTTCTTCCATTGTTTTATGCTCCAGTTCTGATGCTTAAGTACCTACTCTAGGTGCTTTAATTGGTGGATAGGGGTCATCATAGCCACTCTATGAAGCAAACTACCATGTACTGTGTGTTCTGAGACTTTTCTATCATGGTTTTTCAGCAATCTGAGCTATAGTAGCTCTTCTGTGTGACCGGGCTAGACCCTGACGGTAATTCACTGGTTGTCCTTTCTTGCATCACTTTTGTTTCGTACTATCCATTGCATACCGGGAACACCCAAGAAAACTTGCCAATTTAGAGATGCTCTGACCCTGCCATCTATCACTATTTGGCCCTTGTCAAAGTCACTCAGATCTTTTCACTTGCCCATTTTTCCTCCTTCCAACACATGAAATTCATGAACTAACTGTTCACTTGCTGCTTAAGATATCCCATCTCTTGACAGGTGCCATTGTAGCCATGTAATGTTATTCACTTCACCTGTCAGTGGTTTTAAGGTTGTGACTGATCAGTGTGTGTATATATATATATATATATATATATATATATATACACAGTGAAGCAAAAAAGTATTTGATCCCCTCCTGATTTTGAACGTTTGCCCACTGACAAAGAAATGATCAGTCTATAATTTTAATGGTAGGTGTATTGTAACAGTGAGAGACAGAATAACAAAAAACAAAAACAAAAATCCTGAAAAAAAGAGTGTCAAAAAAGTTATAAATTGATTTGCATGTAATCTCTTAATAAATGTATTTTTTTTTTTTTTTCAATCTATTCCACTTGGTAATACAGTATCATCTTTGCCTTCTGTAGTGCCTAAGAACATTGAATATGAAACAGAGGCTCTCAGCTTTGCTTGATGGCTGTATACATGTGATTTATTCACTTAGCTGTGTGAAATCAGTTTTAGCACAGCCCTGTCTAGCAACATAAGCTTATAAATGGTATAAAAGTGAAGGAATGCCTACAGCCCCACCCAGTTACTGTGTCATAAAATGAGAGAGAGAGAGAGAGAGAGAGAGTGTGTGTGTGTGTGTGTATATATATATATATATGTTTAAAAAAAATGTTAATGGTCTTGGTAGGTGTCCACACCATGCACAATTTTCAGAAGAAGAAATGCCCTGAAGCAATAGGTTGTGCTATTAAGAATGACCTGTTCTCTGATAGTAAGAGTGACCTATTCCCTCACCCAAATAAACTAATTTGAAGCACCTGTTGTGTGAGGGATTCAGCGGAGGCTCTCCAGCATTTCAGGGTCAGATCTTGCCATGTTTCCATTAAGCTCCAGGTAGTCTCATACATGTGGGGTATCTGTTTATACTGTCCCATCCAAGCAAAGTATATATTAAATTAATTTGCACTGGCTGATCTACCACGATGATCTGGCACATAAAACATAATCAGGGCTGTCTTTAGCGCGGGGCAAACGGGGCAGCTGCCCCGGGCCCAGTTGCTCCTGGGGGGCCCCAGAGCAGCTGCCCCGTGGGCCCCGCGATATCAGCAGCCCCCATGTACCAGGCGGCCGGCGGTGCAGCCGCACCGGCCCGCCAACTAAGGAGGCCCCCGGGTGGCCCATGCACTAAGGGCCACCCTGTGGGCATGTGGCAGAAGGGGCCCGGTCGGGCGCTGTGACGCTTAAACAGCGCGACCGGGCCCCTTCCTGTACCAGCTGTCACTTCCTCCCACCGGAGATAGCCGAACGGGAGGAGGAAGGCAGGGAGGAGGGGAGTTCCAGAGAAGAACTCCCATCTGCCTCAGCCTGCCACTGGACCCCAGGGAAACCACCCTCCATAAAAAGGTAAGAACCTGGAGGGTGGCTAAATGTATGTCTGTATGTGTGTGTGTTAGTATGTCTGTGTTTGTGTGTTAGTATGTCTGTGTGTGTTAGTATGTCTGTGTGTGTGTGTTAGTATGTCTGTGTCTGTGTGTGTTAGTATGTCTGTGTTTGTGTGTTAGTATGTCTGTGTGTGTGTGTTAGTATGTCTGTGTGTGTGTGTTAGTATGCCTGTGTGTGCTAGTATGCCTGTGTGTGTTAGTATGTCTGTGTGTGTGTGTTAGTATGTCTGTATGTGTGTGTGTTAGTATGTCTGTGTGTGTGTGTTAGTATGTCTGTGTGTGTGTTTTAGTATGTGTGTGTGTTAGTATGTCTGTGTCTGTGTGTTAGTGTGTTAATATGTGTTTGTGTGTTAGTATGTGTGTGTGTTAGTATGTCTGTGTCAGTATGTCTGTGTGTGTCTATGACAGACATACTGACATACACACACAGACACACTGACATACACACACACAGACATACTGACACATACACACACACAGACATACACACACACTGACATACACACACACACATATATACACACAAACATACTGACATACACACACAGACATACTAACACACACAGACATACTGACATACACACACAGACATGCTGACATACACAGACATACTGACATACACACACAGACATACTAACACACCACACAGACATACTAACACACACAGACATACTGTGTGTATGTCTGTGTGTTTGTATGTCAGTATGTCTGTGTGTGTATGTCAGTATGTCTCACTGTGTTCCAGTGTGTGTGTGTATGTCAGTATGTCTGTGTATGTCAATACGCCAGTGTATGTGTCTGTGTGTGTCTGTGTCAATATATCTGTCAGTGTATGTGTCTGTGAGTATGTATGTGTCTGTGTGTGTATCTGTATGTCTGAATGTGTGTCAATGTTTGCCAGTATATATTTTTGTGTCAGTGTATGTGTGTGTCAGTATGTATCTGCAAATGTTTTAATGTGTCTGTCTGTGTGTGTATGTGTCAGTATGTCTGTCAGTGTGATTGCGGGTTGGGCGTAATGGGGAGGGAGGGTGCAGTGACAGGGCCCAGGGGGCCCAAGAAAAGGCTTTGCCCGGGGTCCTATTCATATTATAGACGGCCCTGAACATAATAATTTATAATAAAAAAAAAATTAGCATGACTCACTAACATTTGCTCTCTTTGCAACCTATTTTGATACCTCTAACTTTGTATGGAAATGAAAGAACATTTCATTTTTAAACAAATCTATTTAGAAGATACAGCACCACATACATTCAGCGTAGTATTTCACAATAGTATCTGTCATACGTTTGTAAGCAGTTGTGTTTCTTGTGAGATAGGCTACTGTCTGGTGCTACTTTAGAAAAAAAATGAAAATAAAAATATTGGCCATCACTCCCATAGCATAGCTTTCCAGCAAAGCAAGAATTCATTAAATGTCACACACACCTGTTGAGACACAGGTTGCAAATTTCAGCTTCTAACACTTTGGTAAATTGTAGATAAATTAATAGCAACAATAATTATTAATTTGTATTCGGATCCTCGTTTGCTAGTAGGTGTTTCTCTATGCCCCTCCTATCCTGCTGTACTGACTGGGAGACAGAGGGTCTGAATCAGTTCACAAGCAGAGCTGAGAGGCAGAGCAGCAGGATTCTGTCCAAACCAATCCCCCTATCTGTATCTACAGAGTTTTCCTCTGCTTCAGCACATGAGCCTATTTATCAACAGAGATTGAGAAACACCAGCAGCAGCCATGTGCGGATTTAAACTTGTTCTGTACTTCTCTGTGGTGTTCAGCACAGTTACAGCAAACAGCAAGGTAGGAGGTTTTCACATACTTCAGTATTATCTGTAGGGTGCTGCCAGCCCTGGGTTGTGTCAAGAACAGTGGATGATACCACTCTGGAAAGTGTTGCAGCTTAAAAAAACCTGTAGAAATGTTTAGATCAGACATCTTTCTGTGTCAGTTTTTATCAACATGTCAATACTAACTACCTTTTGTTATGATCAAACTTGTCTGCTACCGGACATTAAACAGAAACTCTAGAACCAGTATCAGGTTTCTTTAAAGTAATTAATAATTCTTTGTGTATATGTATGTGAACACACCACATTCGCAGCAAATAGCCTTCTGTTATTTACAGAGCAGGGTATGGTTGGCATTGCCAAATGTGGATGGCATGTAAGAGACAGGGGTGATAAACTCTTGGGTTCTTTGATGTTTCCAGCCATTTAGTGATTTAAAACTATCACTTAACAGTAATATTATATAATAACTATTATTATAGTTGTTTTAGTTAAAGGATATAAAAAAAATTCCAGAACAAGAACTGGAAGTGGTTTAGTATATGTTATAATATAAATGACTGGAAGTGGTTTAATATATGTTATAATATAAATGTCTGGAAATGGTTTAGTATATGTTATAATTCAAATATAATGCTATGTCTTCCCCATTACAGCAAAGGTTAGGAAAATGAGTGCTAATAGGGTTTAAGTCTTGTTTATGTTGACTTTGTGGATGTGTTTTTGTAAGAGTAGTGACAACTGTCCAGGGCACTTTCAAGGGACACATTTTGCTCATTTTGCCAACTAGTTATGGGAAAAGAAGTAATTCTGTCTTATTCTAAGAAAACAGGCTACATACTCTTTAGGCAAGGTTTAAAGTTCAAAAATCGAACCTGTAGATTTTTTTAATAGTGTGTTATTTAAATGAGCCTTAGATCACCATAACCACTGTAGCATATTGCAGTTGTCAAGGTGCATGGGGTCTTTTACATTTTCAAGTGGTTTGTAAAAAAAATCCCGGACTCTCAACTGCCAAAGAAATAGTAAAGATATTTTACTTTCCACTATATTTACAAATCCATCCAAATGTATATGATAATGGTAGGTTGCAAGTGATTATGAACTGTTAGCCCAACAGTTTGAAAACGGTGGTCTGTAGAATTTTTTTTAATGTCTTAAAAAAAGTTAATTGTGTTTAAGAAAACAATTAGAACATTTTTTTTCCTATTAATTGTTAATTTCTTGGAATCCTTGGCTGGGAAAATGCGTATAAAAAAACCTATCAACAAGACATTATCCAATGACCATTTTTAGCAGGTTATTTGACAAAACCTTACGGCCATCCCCAATTGTCATTGAACCTGTTTGAATCATGACGGAATAGGTTCAGGAATGCTTGTTCTTGAAAATATCACCATTTTTGGTTGGAGATTTACCAGGTATGGAAATGGATCAAAGAAGTCACCGGCCTGCTGCTAAATGTCTTTCTCTTCCTTCTTTGTCATTGTTCGTTTCTGGTAATTAAGATGTGGTGCTGGCTCTGTGCTGATTTATTTCACAATTTGCTGTGAAAGCTGTGTATCGGCCATGTGAGAGGAAATTCTGATCCTTTATTGTTTGCGTCTGCTTCAGAATCCTGCTGGTTATCTACATAGACTCCTGGTACTCAACCTCCCCCACACACCCTCATCTTGAATCTAGATATAAGATTTCATATTTCCCATTACATCTTATCCAATTTTACCATGAAGCCAACATTGCCTTTATGTTTTGGGGTTTTCAACTGGAAGAACAATATCTAACATAAAGATAGAGAGAGAGAGAGAGAGAGAGAGAGAGATAGAGAGATTAATAGATAGATGAATAGACAGACATGGATATATGTTACTTCATTAAGGTGTACATCACACATACATTACGTATACATTCATGATGAATTTGATGTATTCCTGTTATTCCTGATGAGTTTCTTATAGATTGTGGTGAGACGTAAAAAAAAAAAATCTTACATTCTGGTGCCACTTGTTCATGTATCCTCTACCCCAATGAATCTCTTCTGATAGTTAATCCCACCTCCTTCCAGCAATATATACATTTTATGTACCTCAATTTATTCATCATAATGTAGAACACATAAACAAACTAACAAACCCTGCCAAAAAGAGCCTTTCATAATATAACCCTGTAATGCAATCTATGAATAACTAGTACAAGATTTCGTACCTCTTGCACAGTGCTGTGGAATATTTTGTCTTGTTCTACCTAATAATAATAATAATAATATGCAAAATCCCCCAATATGAAATCAAGAATATAAGTCTTCGTGCATTCTTCAAGCATTTGTAAGCTCAGAACATGGCATTAGAGTTTGCTCCCAGAGAAAATTACCATTCAAACTTTACTTAAAAAATACGATTTAAAAACAGACAGATGCAAAACACATTTTTCTAGTGATAGTAAGACATGTACGGAGATACTTGATGATACAAACTTTTTACTTCAAAAATAAAATAAGCGAACCCAAACACAAATTACCAATAGAGACCTAAACAGGAGGTAATCTGCTAAACTTTATAAAAATAAAAATGTATACCAAATATATACTTACAAATATAATATGCATTCACGAGGGAAGATTCAATGACACCAAGTAGCCCCAAGAATTAAATAGCAACATTCTGGTTGCCTTCTATCCTGTGAAGAAGGCACACAGACCCTGGACATCTAAAGGCTGGTCTTAAAGGATGTGACTAGTTCTTTGTATGGTAATTGAGCGTGACAGATGTTAAGAACAGAATAAGAACTACTAACCAGACAACACATGACAAAGGCTACATTTCTTTTCTGAAATTTAGATGTTTGGTCTCACTGAATCTTCTTTCCTAAAATATTTTTTACTCATTCACGGTAACTTTATTTATAGTATGAAACCTTGTATTTAATTTACCATTCATGTTGCATTATTTATTTAAGAAACATTTTACCAGGAAAGATACATTGAGATTTCTCTTGTTTTCAAGTATGTCCTGGGTCCACATGCAATGCTGTTTTTGCATTATACTCTGTATGATAACATTTTCTATTAAAGGAACCCTGTACAAAACATGATCATTTCAACAGATCAAAGTGATTATGGTGCCTGGTGCCTTTGGGCACTGGATCCTGCACTAAAGGGCTTACTCACTTTTTAGCATGGATTCTCAGTACCCAGCAGTATGGAGCATCCAATGAAGATATGATGGAGGCGGAGCTATGCTTCACTTAACCCCATACCAAAAGCAGAGGGCAATGATTGAATGAGAGTGTCAGCTGAGTGCTCTTAGCCAATTACCGCCCCTTATCTCTAGTATGGATTAGTATGGTGCAAGATGGAAACATAGCTCCGCCTCCGCCTTGTTATAAGGCTGCTGGGGACTGAGAATTTCTCCTAAATAGTTAGTAAACCACAGACTCCAGGCTCCATTTCAATCTGTTGAAGTTGTTATTCTGCCTACAGTGTCCCTTTAAATGTTTTTGTCTATATTTAATAAATGCAAAGGCTTGGCCTGCAGTTGTGGGAGGGGCATGTTACCATACTTAAACCCCCCTACTCACCTTCCTCCGTCCCGTTCGTGATTTTAGCGATTTGCATGTCCCCACCCTCCACTCCCTCTATCTACATTTTTCATTACACCTCATGGGTGGGCCCTCTTTTATTATAGGCCTGCCG